ATTGTACCCGGGTATTTTTCATGGGGGTATTATAGTAGGGAGGCACTTTAGTCAGTGGTGTGCAGTAAGCAAAATAGAAAAAAATTGAACTTTACCACCTAGTACTACAATAAATAACGGCAAAGCAAGAGATAAAGGTTTAATATAAATAAAAACCATTAATATTAAATATTACTTTAATTATATTATACAGAATTCTATCAATTTCAATTGACAATTTAATATTTAATACGAAGCTTTTTAGTTTTTGGTTGCAAATTAGAAAAATCATTATAAGCAAAAAAAAGATTTCGGGACTCGTGCTCTAAAATTTCAACTGTAGCTGCCTTTTTTTCAAGGGGATTACCACCATTCATAGTAGATTTTTGAAAAAAATAAGATACATGTAAATGGTTCTTTTTTTCAACTGCGCTACAAGAAAAAGCCTTTAATCCCCACCGTTTATGTTTTTGATGTAACTCCCATCCATGAAATACTATAAAATGGATATAAGGAGTTACATGAACAGGTAAATATAGACCCTTAATAATGTTTTGTGGGTTTGTTGGATCTCGTTCATCAGGTTTTAAAAAAAGATTTAGCCATTCTAATGCTAAATGTTTTAAGTATAAAGAATTGCTAGTTGGATCACATATTACTTTATACAAATTTATAAACTTGTCTTATAAAGATCGAATTAATTGGGCTCGACTTGGACGAAAAAGAGTACCTAAATTAAAATATTGCAATACTTTAATTTTATCATTACCTGATAGTGATGTATACTTCCAAATATTTGATTCTTCGCAGAAGTGAAACTTAATTTTAAGTCATTCTATTTCTTTTACAATTATTTGCCAACTAACTTCATTAAATAAATTTCTTTCCTTAAGTTCTGATAAGATTAAAGTCCAAAGTCGATCCTCAATCCTTAATAGAACATGTAGCTCATCGAAGACGTAGTTATATAATGGAATTATATCAAACAACGGTGCTTTAATATGGCCTGGAGTATTTGAATAGTTGTTTTTCAAATCATTTATTGATTTTGTAATTCGCCAATCTTGCGTAGCATCACCAATTTTATTTTTAGAACAAGAACACCATGCGCAAAAATATTTTGAATTC